TTAAAGGAATTTACGGACGCAACCCCCCCCGTATTCACCGACCGCGCTACTAGCCGGCTTCCAACAGAGGCTCTCCGCATTGTACAACAATTCAACTTTGCGCCGACTCTCTCCACTGCTAGCTACAGCTTCAAGCAACCCACCCTCATAGGCCGCACCGATCAATGTCTTCATGTCGGACAAGGCAACACATACAGCACAAGTCTGCGGTCAAGAAGTCGTACAACTTGACATCCTACGCGCCAAACACAGGAAGTAACCAAGAGTGAGATCCTTAGTTACTTTTTTATCATTACACGTTAAATTTGCAAGCTATTTCGTTGGTAAAGCCCAAACTTCCGGCTCCAGACGTTCTCAGGCGTCCCTAACCGAAGCTTTTTGCTTCACCATCTCCACGTCTCGACACTAAAAAGACGGCTATGAACTCAACCTTCAACACCAAGTACTGCTGTCCACACAGCCAATTTGGACTACCACGCCCCGGTGTACTTAGTCTTTCCAAGTCGAACGCTAAGCAAGATAATCAAGATATTAACACTAAGTCTGTATGCTATTCACACGGCTTAGAATCCATGGTTAATTTCAAGATATCAAGTCTAACGCGTATTCACAGCTATCCGAAGCGAGGTCCAACTATTCAAGATGGCATTTTGGTCCAAGAACGACTTTAACAAGTTACTCACCGGCCTCACACCATCCCACAAGTCAGCACACACCAAGATCAAATGCACCATTTACGCTTCTTGGTTGCAATTCACTTCTACACATAGCGCAAATTCAAGGCATAAACCAAGGGTCACGCCTCTACTATTACACTATGCGCAGGTTCAAATTACTACCATTCTGCACTATCGACACAACAATCTCGACGTCAACGCTTCGATCGCAACTTGGTGGTGTCGGTCAACTCAGTATCAAGCTCAAGTACTGCTCCTGTAGCAAGTTGGCTTCCGCGCCCAATGTACTAGAGCTTTTTAACTGAACATTACCAAGACTAACATCGGGGTCAACACCAGAATTCCAAGCTATCCGCACAAGTGCTAACTGCTTCGAATTCACGTTCAACCCCAAGAAATCAAGCTAATGCGCATCAACCAACACCCCAGTGCTTGGTCACCACTCAACTAGCACACTGTTTTCACACATGGTCGAAACCACACATTACTTACGACATACAGTCGCCGCGGTAATTAACTTCAAGACCTCAATCGCAACTTCGGCAAAATCAACGCTTCGTCGACACACAAGTGCAACAACAAGGCATTAATTCTTCAAGCGTCACAGAGAGTTTTATCAGAACCTCGCACTAGCCCAGATTATTAAAGCCTCAGCCAATCAAGCGTTGAAGCACATCACTTTATGCTTCCACTATCGGGCTTCAACCAGC